TTTATTATGGCATTGTCTCAGCCCATCGCCCAACACTTCATTATTTACAGGCTTTCAGGTATCAGGAACATGAGATCTTAAGAGCCTAGTGACAGTGGCTCACATCTGTAATCCTAGCTACTCAGGAGGCTGAGAGCTGAGCATCCCAACTTTGAGGCCAGCTTGGGCAGGCAAGTCCATGAGACTCTTATCTCCAATGAGCTGTGGCTCAAGTAGTAGAGCTCTAGCCTTGAATGAAAAAGCCTAGGGACAGTACTCAAGCTGAGATCAAGCCCAACTGGATACGCACACACGCACATACACACACACACACACACACACACACACTCACGCACGCATGAACATACACACACATGCATGCACGCATGCACACACATACACACATATCTTTTTTTTTTTTTTGGTCCGGTCATGGGGCCTGAACTCTGGGCCTGGGCACTGTCCCTCAGCTCTTCAGCTCAAGGCTAGCACTGTACCTCTTGAGCCACAACGCCACTTCCGGCTTTTTTCTTTTTGCTTATGTGCTGCTAAGGAATCGAACCCAGGGCCTCAGGCATGCAAGGCAAGCACTCTACCACTGAGCCACCTTCCCAGCCCCCATACACACATATCTTAAGAGTTTCTGCTATATTTCCTCCTATTCCCAACCCACATTCTCTAACTTCCTATTATCCTCTCTTACCCTCATCTGGTTGGGAGTATACAACCAAGATTCTCACCATTCTTCCAGAATTGTCTGCTCTGGACAGTTACAGCCTTTCTCTACTCTTCTGATGAGTCCCAGCTTGCCCTCACCTGCCCCAGGCCAGGGCCTCAACCAGGGATCGCTACTTTTAGAGGCCTGGCTCAGTGGCTCACCACGGGAGGGTTGTCCCAATTTGAAGAAGAGCAAATCACAAATGTCAACTGGCTGGGACCCAAGTACAGGTTGGTGCCGGCGGCACTGGCTTTCCCCCAGCCTGCAGGGTCTGGAGCGAGCAGTGCACGAGAGCGTCCATCAGCGGCAGCGGCTGGCGGGCTGGGAGGAGGGGGCTGCAGAGATGGGGGAGTGAAGCAAGTTGTGTGGACACATGGCTCAGTATCTATCTGCAATCTTCCTTCAGAAAACAAGACAGGGCATCGGTCACAGCTGTGCCTGCTGCCACAGGAAAGCAACGTCCGTGTGTGTCTCTCCCCGCCCCCCGGGCTGGCCTGGGACGCAATCCCCTAACAGAACAATTGTGTCTCAGGATAAAACACCCTGGAAAGTCTCTTCCAAGCCCTGTGAGTGGATGCAAGGTTCCTGACAAGGCATTGTGTGTGCATGTGTCCAGTTACAAAGACTCGCCATCCCCTGGGGCATTTCCCAAGTCCTATACGCTGACCTAAGAGCTTAAATGGGGCCACCAAAGGTCTTTCTGTTGTTCCTGGATTTACCCCTGGGAGGTCTCCTCCTTCCTCCTTTCCTTCCCTCTTGCTTCCTTCCCTTCCTCCTTCTTTTCCTTTCTCCCTTCCTTTCCTCCCACCCCCCTCTCTCTCACACACACACACAGTCTGATCCTTCTCCCGCCAGCCCTCTTGCTGTTCTCCTTTCCACGCTGACATGGTTTTATGGGCCCTCACCAATCAGCCAACTTCTTTTCTGGACAAGATCCAATTTGTTAATAACATCTTCAAAATGTGATTCCCACACTTAGATACATAAAATCTGCTGCAGCTGTTACCAGTACAAAAGCACACATATGGGCTGGGAAGGTGGCTCAGTGGTAGAGCGCTTGCCTTGCATGCTCGAGGCCCTGGGTTCGATTCCTCAGCACCACATAAGCTGTGATTCAAGTGGTAGAGCGCTAGCCTTGAGCTGAAGAGCTGAGGGACAGCGCCCAGGCCCAGAGTTCAGGCCCCACAACCGGACCCAAAAAAAAAAAAACTAATCAAAAACACACATATGTGCACACACATGCGTGAGGAGACAGGAGCAGCTTCTATTTTCTTATTTCCTAGCAAATTGCCCCCATTCTCCTGACATCCAAGAATATTATACCCATAGCATATGGAGTCTAACTGGAAGAAAGGGAGAAAGGTGCTCAGAGCCAGCCTGGCCCAGGTGAGGGCACTGAGTGCTGAGTGCAGGATGCCTGTGGCCCTTGCTCTGGACAGTGAGCGATTTCCTCGTCAATCCTGGATTACATCCACCTGCCTGGAGGCCAGGGCCCACTCAAACCCAGCTTCAGGCAAGGTCATGGGCACAGAAGAGTTAGGACAGTGAGTGAGGTGTTTATAATTCTTTTCCCTCCCAGCCCCAGAAGATGCCAGCCCAGAGGTGCCCAGGTCCTCTGGGAAGAATGCTGAGCTGAGCGTCAGCACAGGGGAGGGGCGTCAGGCTGGTCAATAGCGGAGCTCACAGAAAGCTGCTTTGATGTGTCAGGAAGAGCAGGAGTAGATGTGAAGTGATCTGCTTGTGCTTGCTCCCCTGACGTACGGCCACTCTGCTATCTGAGGCTGGGCAGCCTCCCCTGCACTTGGCCACTGTTGGTCTAGAGTGCCTGTTGACAAACATGGACCTGCTGGGCACTTGTCCCTGCCCCTCCTTCTTCTGCGGAGCCTCAGACAGCAGAGTGGTGACTGTGTGCATGGTCTGCCAACACAGCAGTGCCCAGCTCCAATCCCTGACTTCTGGAGCCATTGGCTTGGGGGTCCTAGGACCCCAAGAGGAGCCCAAGAGGTGATTAAAGTTGCAATGCCCTGGGGGAGCAGAATGAATATGATGCACCTTGGGGTGACTGGTGCGAGGCAGGCCCGCCCCATCCCTCACCTTGGATTGCTTCCTTCTTGACACAGTGCTGTTCTGTCAGAGGAGCAAACGCGAGCAGATCGCTCAGCCTCTACGCCTGCTCTTCCTGACCCATCAAAGCAGCTTTCTGATTTATGAGCATCCTGATTGTCGGTTATTTGATAAGCTCTTCCTGCAATTTGGGTTGCCTCATTCCAGGCCTTAATAACAGGTATTAAATCTAGCAGGGCAGAGGGCAGAGGGCAGAGGGCGGAGGGCAGGGGCAGCATGTCTCCCAAAGCTTCCTTCCCAGCTGCTGATGCCGTACGGATCTGTCAGCCTTCCCCCGACTCCTTCATTCTCCAGAATTTATCTAACGACAGCATTATCCATCTCACAGATCTCTGCCTTGTTCATAAGGATATATTGTCAAATGTCTAGCTGAAACCCAAACGTACTCAATCTAGTACATGTTCTCAATTTATCAGCAGGGCAACCCAATCAGAAGAAAAGAAAGCAAGTAGGAGAGGCTAGACGGGAACGAGGTTAATGTGGCCTGACCACTCACTTGCTCTTAAGTGGTCCCAACAGGCTCCTGTGGGGGCTTGCCAAGGCTGGCCAAACCCTGCCCAGACCCACCCCAGACCAGGCGTCCTCCTACCCTGCCCAGCATCACTATTCCCGCTTCCTGAGACTGACGCACAAGCCAGCAATAAAAGTTGGAGGAAAGAAAAGAAAAACCGGAAGCCAGATGACTGAACACTTTCTCTTTTTTTTTTAATTAACAAGTCTACAGAAAACCTTCATTGAATCAGGGGACATAATACAAATTATGGTGATTTGCATATAAAACGTGGCACTAAATCTGGCCTTTGGGGAATATATATATATTATATTATATTATATATATATATATATATATATATATATATATATATATATATATTGCATGAAAATCTGCACCAAGCAGCTAGCTGACAGCTGTGGAGGCAGGTCTGTCTGGTCTGTGGACTCCAGGTGTACAGGTGGTCACAGGAGCATCTCCACCCCGCTCCTCCCTGCTCCCCCTCCCTCCCTCTTTCATTTCTAGAGGCAGGTTCTTACTATGCAACTCAGGCTAACCTTGAACTCACAATCCTCCTGCCTCTGGCTCCTGAGTGCTGGGACTACAGGCATGCAGTCACTACATCCACTTCAGAGGAGCTTCTTTGAAGGCAGGACTCCTGTAAACACTTAGATGTTACAAGCCTGGCATGAAACAACAATGGTGCTGGGGTAAGGGGCGGGGAGAAGGGTCGTCCTTCTTGTTCTTGTCTCTGGGTTCCAACTCAAGTTCAAGGGTCCTGGCCACCTGGTTCATAAGCCACCTTAACTTCAGAGAAACTTATGCGATTTCCACATACAGCCTTCCTAAGGAAGTGGACCAATTCTAACTCAAGGAGTCAGATTATAATCAGCCAGACCTAAAGGATTGAGAACAACTTCTTACATCATTTGCTGCAGGTCAAGACTTTAGCTAAACAGCTGATCACAACAGAGAAGTGCAACACTGACATACCAGTGCCTCGGCCTGGCTCAGCCCCAGCTCGTATGCCTCTGAGCGACCCTAGTCTGAAAGTCACAGCTCCAAGCACTGCTGGTCCCCTTGGGCCTGACCTCACTGAAGCCGATGGAAGCTTAGGGAGGGGCGGGTCCATGACAGACAGCTCCTTCAGGGCCAGGCCTGCCACTGGCTGCCACTGGCTGCCGAGGCGGGACTGCTGTCTGTTGTCCTGTACATTCATTGGGTCTCCTCTGCGTCCTGTGGCTCTGGAGAAAGCGGCACTGTCCCTGACTGAGCTGCTAAGCTGCAGCTTGGGTCTGGCCCCACAGGAGACGATGCACACCTAGGAACCAGGCTGAGGGACAGAGGTGCAGGGCAGGCAGCATTAGAAGCGGTGGCCAGGAGGGGAGAAAGCCCTGTGGGGTTTTAAGTAGCCCCTAAGGATGGTGTACCACTACAATTTCTGGCTAGGAGTCGGTTCTCACATTCTAGCAGATTCTATCAAGAGAAAAGAAATCCCTATTATATATGTATGTATTTATTTACTGTGCTGGTACTGGGGCTGGAACTCAAGGGCCTCAAACTCTCACTCAGCTTTTCTGCTCAAGGCTGGCATTCTACCACTAGAGCTGCGCTTTCACTTCTGGCTTTTTGCTAGTTAACTGGTTATGAAAGTCTCTAGAATTTGCCTGGGCTGGCTTTGAACTGCGATCCTCAGATCTTGGCCTCCTGAGTAGATAGGATGACAGGTGTGAGCCACCAGCACCCAACTAACTAATTGTACCCAGAGCAGAGTGCCCTTCTCAGTTGCCTCCAGGGTGGGTTTTCCTTCCCCAGGCCCTGCTTGTGGTCGGCGGGCAAGGCAGATCTGACACTTTCCTCCACGGTGTCAATAAGGGAATGGAGAGATGAAGGACCGAAGTGTCCTTCAGGCAGAAAGCTGAGTGCTACACGGGCTGCTAATGAGGGGACATTCTCTTGCCAGCAGCCATCAGGAGACCAGCGCTGAGAACAGCTAGGTGCACTCATATTAATGGCACCTGACACCAATTACTGCCATTTCCTATGTGACCAAGATAACAGGACTGCATGGCACCTAGCTACCAGGGTTCTTTGGGTATAAGAGGCCAGCCCAGGCTGCCCTTTGGAGAAGTTTAGGACAGTGAAATGTAGTGGAACTTGCTCCATTCTGTTCTAAAGTGACCTGACAACACCCTCTAGTGGAAACTATAAATAAAACAAGGACCAAAGCAGCCAGTTACCCTTTGGACATGCTTGGTGCTTACGTGATTCCCAGAACATGGAAAAACAGATCCAACAGAATGCAATCCTAACACAAAGGGTGGAGCTTACAGTCCCTGTTATTAGGACCACGCTGCCAGCTGTCTCTTCTCTCTGACTTCAGTATGGCGTAAGAAAGGGTGTATGTGTGGAGCTGCTGGTGCCCTCAGAGTCTGGGCAGACTGCCGGCTGGTGCCAGGATGATGCCAAAGACGTAGAAGAGCCCCAGCAGGAGGTTGAGCTTGGCCGTCCTCTGGGGCAGCTTGTTGAAGGCCTGGCTGCGGAACTGCCTCTCGAGGGAGAAGGCCACAGGCATGGTGAGCAGGGGCAGCGCCAGGCTGATGCTATAGTGCGTGGCCAGGATGCTGAAGCTCAGGTAGGGCAGGAAGAGCAGCATGGTGTAGAGCACGTATGAGAAGGTGGGGCCGATGAGGATGGCCAGCGTGACGATGCCCGCCTCCCGGTCGGACTCCATGTCCCGGGTGTTGTTGGAGTGGAGAATGGCCTCGGTGCTGAGGGCCAGGGGGATGGCGTAGAGCAGAGGGAAGACCGCCAGCGAGCCCACCTGGACGGCATAGGCGAACATCACAGCCAGCGGGCCGAATGTAATTAGGATCACCAGGTCACCCAGGGCCACGTACTTGAATCCAATTCCTGTGGCCAGAAGAGCCAGAGAGAGGTGGTGTGAGAGCTGGGGCTGGATGCTGAGGGGGCTGAGCAGCAGGAGGGGGTGATGGGGGTGGTCCTCAGCTGGCTGGAGTGCCAGCTTTTAGCTGGGAGGGGAAGGGCTCATTTGGGATCTCTACAGCAAAATCTGATTTCATCTCCAACTACTACCCCAGGTTCAGAGAGCATGCTCAGGTTTCAGAAGCCTCCAGCCCTGACCACGCTTCAGGGCTCAGCCTTAGGGTCAGAAAGCAATTGAGTCTTACTGTTGTAAAAGGTAAGTCTGCAAGGGACCCCGAACCCCAGGAGCCAAGACCAGGATTCAGCCAAGCTCACCTAGAGCGTAGCAGCACCTTGGTCCTATATTTTATTTATTTTTTGCCAGTCCTGGGGCTTGAACTCAGGGCCTGGGTGCTGTCCCTGAGCTTCTACTTGAGGCTAGCCTAGCACTCTACCACTTGAGCCACAGTGCCACTTCTGACCTTTTTCTGAGTAATTTATTGGAGATGGGAGTCTCGAGGACTTTCTTTGCTTGGTCTGGCTTTAAACTGCAATCCTCAGATCTCAGGCTCCTGAATAGCTAGGATTACAGGCGTGAGCCAAGGGTGCTCCTTGGTCTTTTAGAATGCAGCATCCCCAGAAGACACCAGCAAGCTACTTACTGCTATTATTATTACTATTACTACTACTATTATTATTGTTGCAGTACAAAGCTTGAAAACTCTGAGCTCATAGCTACTAGGCAAGTACTCTACCACTTGAGCCATGCCCCTTTTTGTTTTAGTTATTTTTCAGACAGGGTTTTGCTTTTGCCCATGTCTGGCCTAGAACTTAGAGCCACCTAACTCTGCCTCCCAAGTACTGGGATTTCAGATGTGTACCACCATGCCCAGTGTGTTTGTTGCGATGGGATCTTGCTAATTTTGGCTCTGGGTGGCCTCCAAGGGTGATCCTCCTGGTCTCTGGGATTACAGATGTGAGACACTATACACACATACCCTTTCCTAACAAACTAATGCTGTACCCCAAGACATGTGTTGATAAATAACTTGGTTGTCTGAGGACCCCCAAGTTCCCTCAGGAACAGAACAGTTTACTAACTCAACACCAGCCCTGAATGAGTAGATCTGGCCACCAGCTGTCCATTCTTGCTTATTCTCCCAGATTCTCAAACTGACATCAGAATTCTGGCTGGGAAAAAAATGTACCAGTACCATAGCCTCAACCTGAATCAGCAGCAGGAATTTGAGGGGCTTGAGCAGGAACCTGTGGCCCACCTTAAGTAGGTCTTACTTAAAAATCAAGCACAAACTCACCTGATCTGACACTAAAAAAGGACAGAGCCGTTGGGGAAGCGTCAGATACAAGGCCTAGGGCTTGTGCGGTATTGTGCCACTGGATTTACAGAGAGTTGCCCTTCAGGCATTCCTACTCCTCCCAGCCCATTTGCTGAATGGACCAGTACAGTAAAATATTAGGTCAGTTCTCTACACAGCAGCCAGAATTCATCTGTAAGACATAAATCAAAAAGCTGGCAAGGTGGAATTGGAAGTGTGGCTCCAGGGTTGAGAGCGCCAGCCTAATAAACAGGTCCAAGTATAGGGAATCCCCAGCATCACTAAAAAGGAGAGGGCGAGAAAGGAAGGGGAGGGGAGAAAGAAAGGAAACAAAGATTAGATAGATAGGCAGATAGAGATAGATATGGGTGGAAGGCTGGATAGATAGATAGATATCTGATGCCTATAATCCCAGCACTCAGGAAGTCCCAGCAGGAGGTTAGAGAGTTCCAGGCCAGCCTGGGCTACACAATGAAACTCTGTCTCAAAATCAAGTCAAATCAAATGCAAATACTGGCAAGGCTGTGGAGCCCCTGGAACTCCCACCTCCAGAGGTGGGAGGGTAAGGAGGAGAACCATTCTGAAAGCTGGGAAGTGTCTGGGGAAACCAATCACCAAGGCGGCCACCACTCCATTTCCAGGCATTCTCCAAGAGACATGGGGACAAATACTCACAGAGAGACTAGAGTAGGACTGTCGGCCACCATCCCCAGGGCTTGAGCGGGGCACGTGAACAAACTGTGATATGTGAATCATGGATGAAGGGGTTACTGAGAGACACAACAACACCCGGACTGTGCTGAGCCAACGAGGCCAGGCAGAAGGGTTCACACTGCCAGAGACCAACAGTCCACAAACACAGAGTTCTACACCTGGCAAAATGAACCTATGTGAAAGAGTAGGGTGCGGGCGTGCCGATGTGTGTGTGTGTAAGCATGCCTTTCATTCTAGACACTCAGTCTAGAGGGTGCAGTCAGGAGGGCGCAGTTCAAAGCCAGCTTGGACAGAAAAGCTTATGAGACGCTATCTCCACTGAACTAGCAAAATGCCAGACTGGGGGCAGCCCAAGTGGTAAAGCGCCAGCTGGAAGGAGTGGATTGAGAGCATGAGGTCATGCAAGAGTATTGGCACAGAAAACGAAAACCAGAAACCTAATCTAGGAGAAAGAAACCAGACCAATGACTGCCTTTGTGTGCAGGGGGACAGAGCTTTGGTGTCTGCACCGGGCTGGGGGTCCATTACACAGCTATTTTGCATTAAGCAGCATTCACCAAGGATAAAAGGTAACAGTAAAGACCTATGCATTTCACTGTATGTCATTTGTGCATCAGTAAAGTGAATGCTTTTAAAAAGGTTAAATCAGAGTACATCAGTGTTCTACATCTCAGTGTCTTCTTGTTCATTTAATGAGTTATTTTTCAATAATCAGTATATGCCAGGCACTGGACTGGGTACCAGGGGTTCAGGCGAAACAGCAGACTGCAGGGAGTGACAAGTCTCAAGGCTAAGATAAATAGCCAAGCAAATGCTTTACAGGGTATGTTAGAAGGTGCCTGTGTTATGCAAAAGAACAACGCAGCAAACTGTGACCAGGAAGGTGCGGGAGGTGAAAGGAGGGTGTGTGGTTGTTTTGTTTTGTTTTTGTTGAGACAGGTCATTCTATCTAGTTCTGCTAGCCTCAAACTCAAGATCTTCCTGTCCTATCTTCCAAGTACTGGGATTACAGGCATGGGCTGTCATGGCCAGCTAGATATGTAACATTAAGGTAGAAAGTAAGACTTCACTAAGCTGATGTGTATCACCTGGATAGCTGAGGGAACAGCATTCCAACACAGGAAATAGTACCTGCAAAGGACCTGAGGCAGGTGTGTGCAGGTCCTGAGAATTGTGTGACCAGCTCAGGGTGAGCAGGTGGGAAGGAAGAGGGCAGGGCAGGTGAGAGCTGGGGGAGGGCTGAGGGTGTTCAGGGGCTGGCGGGAGGGGGGTGGTTAATGCAAAGACCTGTGATTTACTCCACACAAGATGGGAGCTGCAGTGGACTGAGAGCTCCTTAGTGAAAACAGCACAGAAGGACCAGGCAGATGCTTGGACAATCCAGGCAGTGAGGAAATGTTGGAGGTAGGCCATGGTCGAGGGTGGCTGGATCCCAAACGCACTGGAATGAAAACAGGGTTTGCTGCTGATAAGCTGGATGGAGAAGAACCAGGAGGCGAGGCGGCCCAGGGTTTTAGGCCTAAAGAAATAGAAGGATGAAGTGGCCACTGAATGAGTTGAGGGTGTAGCTCAGTGGTAGAACACTTGCCTAGCATGTGTGAGGCCCTGGGTTTAAACCCCAACACTGCCAAAAAAGAAAAAAACAAACCCCCAAACCAAAAACAAAACAATTCCATTTAGTAAAATGAGAAAGACTGAGTAGAGCAGGTATCTTTGGGGAGATCAGGAATTTGATTTTGGACATATTAAACCAAATTTGAGATGTCTCTGAAACCTGTAGAAGTTACTGAGAAGTAAGATGCCGGATAGGCAGTGTGCAGCTCAGTATGTGCAAGGATCTTCACCCCATGTTCAATCCCTGGCACCTTATTGATCCACTCTACATCCCTTTATCTATTCCCAGTATACATTAGCTTGCAGAAAAAAAGTTGACTAGAAATCTGGGTTTGAGAGTTACCAGCTTAATGATGGTATCCGATGACAAGAGATGGGCCAAAACCACCCCAAATCACCGAATCAGTAAATGAAGAAAGGTGAAAAAGGCCTAGACTGAGCCCTGGAGACCAGAGAGTGAGGAGAGGAGGAGGCAGTGGAGAAGGAAGAGCCAGCCCTCTAAGATCAAGGCAAGGATTTTGTTATAGTTATAGAAGGCTGACAAATATAGCGGGTCTCTACCCTGCATCGCCATTATCTTATCTCTTCTATTCCAGTACTCAACTGATATCTTTTTTTCTTTTTTTGTTGCTGGTGGGGCTTGAACTCTGCGCGCCTCGGTGCTCTCTCAGCTCTTCTGCTCAAGGCTAGCACTTTACCACTTGAGCCACAGTGCCACTTCTGGGTTTTCTGAGTGGTTTACTGGAGATAAGAGTCTCATGGACTTTCCTGCCCATCTGGCTTTGAACTGTGATCCTCAGATCTCAACCTCCTGAGTAGCTAGGATTACAGGCATGAGCCACCAAAGCCCCTCTCTTTCTTTCTTTTCTTTTTTTTTTTGAAGAGCGTCCATGTAAACCAATCTGTCCTCAAAAGAACAATCATGCCTCAGGCTCCCTAGTACTGGAATTACAAGCTGGAATTACCATGCTCAGCCTCTATAAAGTGTGTGTGAGTACGCGCGTGTGTACGCGCCATCCTGGGCACTGTCCCTGAGCTCAAAGCTAGCACTCTACCACTTAAGCCACATCTGCAATTTTGACTTTTTGGTGCTTAACTGGAGAAAAAGTCTTACAGATTTTCTTGTCGGTCATGGGGCTTGAACTCTGGGCCTGAGTGCTGTCTCTGGGCTCTTCAGCTCAAGGCGAGCACTCTACCACTTAAGCCACAGTGCCACTTCCAGTTTTCTGGTGGTTAACTGCAGATAAGAGTCCCAAGGACTTTCCTGCCTGGGCTGGCTTTGAACCATGGTCCTCAGATCTCAGCCTCTTGAGTAGCTAGGATTACAGGCTTGAGCTGCCGGTGCCCAGCTGTCATACAGATTTTCTAAAGCAAGATTGAGCTGGGTACTGGCGGTTCACACTTGTAATCCTAGCTACTTAGGAGATCTAAGGATCATGGTTCAAAGCCATGTCAGGCAGAAAAGTCTAAGAGACTCTCATTTCCAGTAAACCAGAAAAAGACAGAAATGGAGGTGTGGCTGAAGTGATAGAGCATCAGTTTTGAGTAAAAAAGCCAGGGGAAAGCATGAGGTCCTGAGTTCAAGAAGCTCCAGTAACTGCACATAAATAATCAAAAGTATGATCAACAGGGCTGGTGGCATGGCTCAGCTCCACAAGCCAAGCCAGTATGTTCCCAACTTAACTGATCTTAAAACACTCATGACCCACACATTATAGATTTCAGGTAAAATGAACATGACCTAGGAAAGGACTTCTGACTTTGTCTACAATTCCTATGCAACGCATTTTCCAGTACGGAAAAGGGAGACACCCCTCGTCGCCCAGGACGGGAGACAGGGCCGATCCTTACCTCCTGTGTACAGAAAGGAGCCAGAGAGACCTCCGAAGTAGATGAGAGCCAGGTGCTCCAGTTTCAGAGAGGACAGGTAGTACAGGCAGGCGGCACAGACACAGCCAAGGGTGTAGAGGAAGACTCCAAACCGAACAACGTCCTGAGGCTCCAAGATACGATCCACCAAAGTCCTGTCATCACTCTTTTTGTGATCAATGCCCTTGGAAAAGTCATAGTAAGTGTTGACCAAATTGCCGGCCCCGTGCACAGCCAGAACAGCCACGGCGCAGCCCACCAGCAACCTGGGGTCCAGGACGCCCTGGGATCTGTACGCCAGGGCACTGCCCAGGGCCACCGGCGTGAGAGAGGCACTGAAGCTCCAGGGCCTCAGGGCCAGCACGTACGAGGCACACTTCTGCCTCCAGGAGCGCTGGGGAGGCCTGTCCTGCTCCGGCCCGCCGGGGCCCAGCGGCTCCCGCTCCCCGGCCTGGACGGTGTCTCCAGCTTGGATGTTGATCTTCGGTCCCGGGGCCGGCAAGGCAGCCATGAAGGATGCACGTGGCTGCTGTCAACTCGGAAAGCGCGGCGCTCGCGGTGACCGCCGGGGCCGAAGGCGCGCGGGGCGGCCGGGCCTGACCTTCCCTTCCGGGCCCACCCCAGGGCAGGGCTGGGACGGCCCCAAGGTCACTCACACCCCCGCCCAGAGGCCCAGCGGAGCCACCACGTCCTCCGGGCACCCGCGCGCGGCCTGTCTCCTACCCCCAAGCCCCGACACGTCAACTCAAGGACCAGCCTCAGCGGCCGGCCGCCCGCGGGCCGCCGGGGCCGCCATCTTGTGCATCGGCCTCAAGGGGCCGGCCGGGAAACAGAGGCCCCGGCGCGGGTAGGGCCGGGGGAGCGCCGCCCGAGGGCGGGGCCGAGGCTGGGCGTGTCCCGAGGGCGGGGCCTGAAGGGCCGGAGGCCGGGACAGGCCTGCAGCCGAGTCCCAGCGCCTGCGCCCGCCCGAAGGCCCTTACCCCGCTCTGGATTCCAGGTACAAAGGACCTGGACCTGGGCCTGGGCCTGTTTAGCATCCCGCCCCCCACGTACCCCCCCAACCCCCCGGACAGATACACTGTGGTTTTGCGATTTAGAGGACCTTTCACTCACAGAAAAAGGATTTACTGATGGGCGCAGCGTCAGACTTTTCTCTCCATTTGGCCAGCGAACAAGCCAGAAGTTGAGATGTGATTCAAGTAGTAAAGCGCTAACTTTGGGCATAAAAGCTGAGGGTGGGTGCCCAGGCCTTGAGTTCAAGTCTCAGGATCTCTGTCTCTGTCTGTATCTCTGTTTCTCTCTCTCTCTCACACACACACACACACAAATTATGTGATTCTAAAAATCACATAATTTAGGGTTATTGCCGTTGTTTTATAACTTTTTATGTGTGTGTGTGCCTGTACTGCAGCTTGAACTCAGGTGTTTAATTGGAGGTAGGACTTGAAGACCTTCCTGCCTGGGTTGGCTTTGGACTGTGATGCTCAGATCTCAGCCTCCTGAGTAGCTAGGATGACAGGCGTGAGCCACCACTGTCCGGCATGCACAGTTGTTATTTTTTAAATTAAAAAGCAAAAACAAATTGGGAGCCTTTTTCCTTCACAATGTATATTATCATCATTAGTGGTTACCTAAGTTTCCTTATTATGAAGGCATTGTACTTCATTCAGTGAGATTCTGCATACGAAATGTTTTAGGAATTATCGATGTTTATTACAACAGCGCTTGTGATTAAAAGAATAAAGATGCAAATTAAAATTTTAGCTATTGGCTTTTCTTTTTCAAAGAACTTTCTAAAATGATGTTTTTGTTTTCTATTGCTTTTTGCCAGTCCAGGGGCTTGAGCTCAGGGCCTAGGCTCTGTCCCTGAGCGTCTTTTGCTCAAGGCTAGCACTCTACCACTTGAGCCACAGCGCCACTTCCAGCCTTTTCTGTGTATGTGGTACTGAGGAATCGAACCCAGGGCCTCATGCATGCTAGGCAAACATTCTACCACTGAGCCACCTTCCCAGCCCCTGGAAAAAAAAATTATTTGCAACAAGTTCTTGGCAAAGGTTTCTCCAAAACGGCTTTGTGGGCTCAATCATTTTCGAAAATCGAGAACATTTAATAAAAAGATTTTCAAATGCATATGAAGTTTCACAAGGGAAAGCACAGGCCGCAAAGCACAGCTAGCCCCAAGATTTCACGTTTTCGGCCGCAGTCACAGGAGGTGACGGTGACTCACAGCCTCTTCACAGAATCCAGCCGGGCGAGGTTTCGAACCTTTACTCAACGCTCCTGGCTCCTCCCTGTGGAACCACAGAGCGGACCCGCCACAGCATCGACGCAGAAGGGGGAATCTTGTTAGCGAGGCACCGGATGTGTGCGTGGAAGTGACTGAAGTAAACTCACGCCCGATTGGTTCTTCCAAGCGGACCTAAACGTCTTTTCGCCTGCTACTGGCCGCCTGGTTTGTCTATTTGAACAGTCCCCGCCCCCTAGAGAAGCCGGGTCCCGAAGCTTCACTTCTCCTTCATTGTTATTGGTCTACGTTCCAGTCTATTTTATCTGTAAGACTTCTGATTGGTTGTCAGGACCAGGAGGCCGCCTTGCCTCCCTCCCTCCTAGTTTAGAGGACGGCCGGGAAGGCGGGTGGTGGGGCCGGGGGGGCCCTGAAGCGGCGGTACCGGTGCTCGGGGAGGCAGCTGAGGCCTCGGCCGAAGCCGTTCGGTGAGTCTGGGGCCTGGCCCCGCCCCTTCCGTGGCGGCGGGACGTCCAGACTCCCGGCCAGCCCGGCCTGCGGGCGGGGGTGGGGGCGGGAAGCCGCCCGTCTGGAGCGCGGAGTCCCCTCAGCTCCTGCTCGGCGACCTGGGCGCAGCCTCGACCCGCACCCCGCGAGGCGACCCTCCTCCCGCTCAGGACCCCCGGGGAGACCCGCAGGCCCCGGGGGCCGCCGGCCTCGGAGGTCGGCTCGTCAGCTCGCGCACTGCCGGTGGCCCGTCGCCCCTTCCTCCCGGCCGCCTACCAGTGCCGGGCTTGCCTGGGGAGCGGCAGCCTCGGGGACCCCGTCCCCCCTCCCTGAGGCCCGCCATCCAACGTGAACTTAAGTCCTTCCCAAGGAAGCCTGTGAGGACTTAGCGTGAGTCCAGCCTCGAGGAGGAGACACACACGCGCGCACACGCACACGCGCACACACGCGCGGATTTAAGAATTGTGAGAAACTGGCAGCATTGCCATGCTGAAGATCGGTATAATGCTGCTCTCCTGGCAGCGTGTGCTACTTTATATTGTTGCTGCGTGCTTATTTGTGTTTCGCACGGCAAAGCTCAATGAGGAACGGATTAGTACGTCCTGGAGTAGTGACTGATCTCAGGAAGTACTTAGTTTCGTTCAGTTCACATTTGAAGTCACACTTGGTGTGTGTGTGGGGGGGGGAAGGGGGATTATTCCATTGCCCCCCACTCCCACCCCAAACTGAAACCTGTGGCAGCTCAGATCCTTTGTATAAAATGGCATAGTATTTGCATATAGGCTATGCAGTTCTTTTGCTTCCTTTAAAGCATCTCAAGATTTGAATTTATATTGCTAACTACTATGTAAATGCTGTATACTATTGTTATATTGTTTAGCAAATAAAAACAAGAAAAAAAAGTTATGTATAGTTAGTAATGGGGGGCTCTCCCCCCACCCCATAGTTTCTCTCTGAGATTGATTGAGTCCACAGGCCCGGGTTGGCCCCATTTATACACAAGCCTGCTACCGTATCCTCAGATTCTTTTTGTTTTGTTTTGTTTTTTGTTTTGTTGGTCATGTGGCTTGAATTCTGGGACTGGGCTTTGTCCCTGAGCTCTTCACCTCAAGGCTAGCACTCTACCACTGGAGCCACAGCACCACTTCCTGTTTTCTGTTGGTTGATTGGAGATAAGAGTCTCATGGACTCCCCTGCCTAGGCTGGCTTTGAACCACCATCCTCAGATCTCAGCCTCCTGAATAGCTAGGATTACAGGCGTGAACCACCAGCGCCCAGCCTGTATCCTGAAGTTCTATAGAATTGTTCTGGGCAGCACAATAAAGAGCAGCCACAGCTCTATAAAGCATGTGTAGTGAGACCAGTCCAACTTGATATTTCTTTCCTGTTTATTTATTGATTGGTTGGTCATGGGACTTGAACTCAGGGCCTGGGGGCTGTCCCTGAGCTCTTTTGCTCAAAGCTCTCCCACTGGGCCACTTGATGAGCCACAGTGCCACTTCCAGTTCTTGAGTGGTTAATTGGGGAGAAGAGTTTTACTGGGACTTTACTGCTTGTGCTGGCTTTGAACTGCGATCCTCAGATCTCAGCCTCCTGAGTTCAGGGCCCCCCCCCAAAAAAAAGGTAAAAGATAAAGAAATGTTTGCTAGAAGCCGGGAACCAGTGGCTCACGCCAGTAGCTACTCAGGAGGCTGAGGTCTGAAGTTCACGGTTCAAAGCCAGCCCCGGCAGGAAAGGTTGTAAGACTCATCTCCAATAAACCACTAGAAAACCGGAAGTGGTATTATGGCTCATGTGGTAGAGCTCTTGCCTTGAGCTTAAGAGTGCAGGGACAGTGCCCAAGCCCAGAGTTCAAGCCCCACAACTGACAAAAACAAACAAAAATAAGAAACATTTGCTAGATTTTGGGAGCTTTACTTAAAAAAAAAGAGCCAGTCACTGATGACTACACCTGTAATCCTAGCTACTCAGAAAGCTGAGATCTGAGGATCCTGGTTCAAAGCCAGCAAACACAGGAAAGTCTATAAGACACCCCCCCCTTTTTTTTTTTTCCAGTCCTAGGGCTTGAACTCAGGGCCTGGGTACTGCCCCTGAGCCTCTCTGTGCTCAAAGCTAGCACTCTACCACTTGAGCCACAGCTCCACTTCTGGCTTTTTCTGTTTATGTGGTACTGAGGAATGGAACCCAGGGCTTCATACATGCTAGGCAAACACTTATCACTAAGCCACATTCCCAGCCCTATGTGATCCTTAGCACCGTTTAGCCACCAGAAAACCGGAAGTAGCTCTGTAGCTCAAAGTGATAGAACACTAGCCTTTAGCAAAAAAGCTCAGGGGCAGCTCCAGGCCATGAGTTCAAGCCCCAGGACCATCATATTCAGTGCTACTGTAGAATAGTAATAATTTTCTTCTTAGATCGTACTGAGGAAAGGGGCAATTCAAATCATTTTAAATTCTTTTCCTACCTCCCTACCCTGGCACTATGTCATATAATGGTAGTTACAGTAATAAGAACGAACAGTTACTTTAAGAACTTGCCAGGTACCCAGCACTGTTTTGAACATGATCATTCTATGTGTTGTTATTGCTTATTTGACATGTGTCTTGCTGTCAAGCCCAGATTGATTTCCTGCTCCTGGGCTCAGTCTTCTGGCTTTAAACTCCTGAGGACCTGAGACAAGATAGGCACCTCTGTGCTCTTAATTTTTTTGAGACAATGTTTCATTCTTGTGATCTAGGGTGGCCTCATACTTCACAGTCTTTCTGTCCCCACCTCCTGAGTGCTAAGATTAGAGGGGTACGCCATCATGCCTGGCATTTGTAAGCAATCTATCTGATAGGTGTTAACTTCACTGTTTTAATTTTTCACCTGAACCCATGAGTGAGATGATGTGATCCTCCTGGTGTCCTGGGGACACAGGAATTTTAAGTGTGTTCTTCTGGATATATATAAAACTTTGGAACAACTCCACAGGCCTCTAGTACACGGCCTCTTTCCATGTCAGTCCTTATTAATGGATGTAGGCTTTCTGAGAGTTCCTTGAGAAGTTCTGACCTTTTCAGAATCCCCTGCCTGACATGAGCTGGTGGTCTGTATGCAGCCAGAGTTATAAGATTTGTTGCCATTGTTCAGCTGGCATATTGAAGGAAACTTCTCTCCAATAAAATCTTAGGGCAAGATGCTTGGAACCGGACCTGCCGCCGCCACCGCCACCACCACTACATCTAGCAATGTGAGCGTTCTGCAGCAGTTTGCCAGTGGCCTGAAGAGCCGTAATGAGGAGACCAGGGCCAAGGCGGCCAAGGAGCTCCAGCACTACGTCACCATGGAGCTTCGAGAGGTTGGGCTTCTGTGATTGGGGCCATCTTGTGGGGATGCTTGGGCTGTGTGTGCCATCTCCGGTGCAGATACTTTTTGTTAGCTCTTGGGGAATTCTGTCTTGGGAAGGCACCCAGCTTCACATCCACATGTTTCCCATTGGTGTGTACAAATATAGCAGTGAGCATAGATAGATTCAGCTGCCCTTTAAATTTGTTTCCCTGCCTCCCCCACTATTTACAGTTGGACTGGGATTAGAAAGTTGATAGCTTGGGATTTTCTTTTTCTTTTCTTTTTTTTTGGTGCCAGTTCTGGGGCTTGAACTCAGGGCCTGGGCACTGTCCCCAAGCTTCTAGTGCTATACCACTTGAGCCACAGCGCCACTTCTGGCTTTTTTCTGTGTTTGTGGTACTGAGGAATCGAACCCAGGGCTTCATGCATACTAGGCAAGCACTCTACCACTGAGCCACCTTCCCAGCCCAGCTTGGGGTTTTCTAAATAGAGACTAGACTTGAAGTCAGAGACGGTGGCCTATTCATCCTTGTACCCTGAGTACTAGGAGGAATGCAGGACAGGACACATGGCCTTGCTAGCTATGGAGACTCAGTAAGTAATGTTAAATAAGCAGATGGATCATGAGTTAAATTGCTCTACACTTCCAGAGTAAGGAAATGGACAGTTGCTCTGTCTTCTGTGGTTTGAATTACATCTTGGTTTCTAGACTTAAAGTGCCAGCCCTACCCATCCTCCCCCCCTCCCCACCATCAGGGAGATTCTAGAAGTTGTTCTGAGTGCATCTTCCTTTGCAGATGAGTCAAGAGGAGTCAACTCGCTTCTATGACCAGCTGAACCATCACATCTTTGAATTGGTTTCCAGCTCAGATGCCAACGAGAGGAAAGGTGGCATTTTAGCTATCGGTAAGTTCAGCCTCTGTTAACAATACCAGCTAGAAAATGGAGGCAGCTGCCTTTTGTGTTTGTATTGCCATGAGATATGTTAGAGATGCCGTTCATCTTTGTTTAAAGAACTTTAAGATAGGGCTGGGAAGGTGGCTCAGTGGTAGAGTGCTTGCCTGGCATGCATGAGCCCCTGGGTTTGATTCCCCAGCACCACATAAGCAAAAAGAAAAAAAGCCAGAAGTGGCGCTGTGGCTTAAGTGGCAGAGCACTAGCCTTGAGCTGAAGAGCTGAGGGACAGCACCCAGGCACAGAGTTCAAGCCCCATGACTGGACCTAAAAAAAAAAGAACTTTAAGATATAGGTATTCTAATAGAGTTACTGGGACAAAACAAAGCATGTATTTTTAGATGTGGAAACAGAGTCATGGAACCATCAAGTGACATTTTTGTTTAGGGAGTTTTTCAGACCTGAGACTAGAAGCTAGCTTTTCACTACCTCATGTTGCCTTCTGTAGGTTCTGATTTTGCAGTCAAGCAAGATCTGGCATAGGGAGCCTTACCAGAAGAAGTAGAATTGGGTATGGCTAATAAAAGGCAGATCATGGCTGGGCAACAGTGGCTCACACTTGTAATCCTAGCTACTCAGGAGACTGAGATCTGAGGATTGTGGTTTGAAGCCAGCTCAAGCAGAAAAGTCTATAAGACTCTTTATTTCCAGTTAAATCACCGAAAAAGCCAGAAGTGGCTATGTGGCTCAAGTGGTAGAATGCTAGCGTTGAGCAAAAGATGTTCAGGGACAGTGCTTAGGCCCAGAGTTCAAGCTTCTGGACTGGCAAAAAAAAAAAAAAAAAAAACCAAAAAGAGGGACTTTTTTTTTTTTTAATTTCTCAAGGGCTCGTCATTAATCTTGTGAATTACTACTGAGTCCCTGTTTGTTTTTCCAGTTTTTCTTGGAAAAATAAATTACCTATGTGTTGCTTTATGTATGCAGTTCTGACACCAATGTCAAATCTGGTTGTCTCCATCCTTGGCATGTAGAAATGTACTCAAAGTAAAAAGATCAATGTTGAAAAGTTTAAGTCTTTGTGCATTCCTGGCCAGCACAGGCAGCATCTTCACATTTTGCCTTCTTCTCTTCCAGCCAGCCTCATAGGGGTAGAAGGCGGGAATGCTACCCGAATTGGCCGATTTGCAAACTATCTTCGGAACCTCCTCCCCTCCAATGACCCGGTTGTCATGGAAATGGCATCCAAGGCCATTGGCCGCCTTGCTATGGCAGGGGACACTTTCACTGCTGAGTATGTGGAGTTTGAGGTGAAGCGAGCCCTGGAATGGCTGGGTGCTGACCGAAATGAGGGCCGGAGACATGCAGCTGTGAGTGCCTCCAGGGAGAAGCCCTGCGGGAGGGCAGGGAGAGCCCCTTTGCTTCCGTCCAAGGCCTTCCCTGAAAATGCTGGTTTGATTGGGCCATGATTCCTCCTTGTGAGAGAGGATCCAGGTGTAGATGGAGTAGAGATGGGACTCTGGTTCCTTTCCTCTCAGCTCCCTTAAAGGGGCAGTACCACAAGGAAGGAGCACAGACACGGGCACTGATTTGAGTCATGGCTTTGTCACTAACTCTCTGAAGGCCTCGAGCCTTCACTTTCTTCCTCTGTGAGATGAAAATAAGACTATATTAAAACCACATTCCGTATGTATTTACTGAGTGTGTCATATGTCAAGCACAGTTGTAGGCTGTTGGTATAGGGGTATAGAAAGCATCAAACACTGGCTAGGAATGTGGCCTAGTGGTAGAGTGCTTGTCTTGCATGCATGAAGCCCTGGGTTCGATTCCTCAATACCACAAAAACAGAAAAAGCTGGAAGTGGCACTGTGACTCAAGTGGTAGAGTGCCAGCCTTGAGCAAAGGAAACTCAGGAACACTGCCCCAAGACCTGAGTTCAAGCACCAGGACTGGAAAGAAAAACAAAGACAGCATCAAACACGTTGTCCTTTCCGAGCATCTGTTTAAACATGGCAGACATTCGCTTGTAAACAGCCAAGGGTACTGAGCACGGAGGTGTTGATCGGTTTCACTCAGCCTCTTCTGGCCCCAAAGAGTAAGACTCATGTTTTCCTTGAGTGTTGCTGCTGTAGGAAGTCAGCAGACTGTTCTCAGCTTGCCCTTCTCTCCCAGGTCCTGGTTCTCCGTGAGCTGGCGATCAGCGTCCCCACCTTCTTCTTCCAGCAAGTGCAGCCCTTCTTTGACAACATTTTTGTGGCTGTATGGGACCCCAAGCAGGCCATCCGTGAGGGGGCGGTGGCCGCCCTTCGTGCCTGTCTGATTCTCACCACCCAGCGGGAGCCGAAGGAGATGCAGAAACCTCAGTGGTACAGGGTAAGGAGATGGTTCTGTTGAGGCCACTAGCACAGCCCATTTGCCTAGGTCACCTGGCAGCAGCAGGCCCCTTGCCACAAAGCCAAGATCACATTTATTCAGACTCCCAGCAGTCCTTTTATGCTCATTGCAAGTCAGTATTACCTTATTGCATTATATTGAAGCAAAGATCCATTGATAGCCACACCATTACATGGCAGTGTGTTTCATTCTCAGCACCACAAAAATAAAAAGACATCTTATAGAGATGTTAAAATAGGGGAAAATGGGTATCTTAGACTCATTGAACCATGGTACTAATTTGGAAAGGGCCATTTCCCTCGTCTCTACTGTCATGAGTCCTGTGCTAGTGGCTGCTAACAAAGGAACCTTCTGGTGAGGCATACATCATAAATGGAGCCCTAGCCTTAGGATTAGAGACTTGGGGCTGGGAAGGTGGCTCAGTGGTAGAGCGCTTGCCTTGCATGCTTGAGGCCCTGGATTCGATTCCTCAGCACCACATAAGCAAAAAGAAAAATGCCAGAAGTGGCGCTGTGGCTCAAGTGATAGAGCGCTAGTCTTGAGCTGAAGAGTTGAGGGACAGCGTCCAGGCCCAGAGTTCAGGCCCACGACTGGACCAAAAAAAAAAAAAAAAGATTAGAGACTTGGGTTTTATCTTACCTTTGTTTGTAACCTGAGACATGTCACTTGATTTCCTTGGGTCTGTTATTGGCTGCTGTCATTTTGAGACAGGATCTTCTTGCTATATATCTCAGGCTAGCCTTAAACTTGGGATCCTCCTGCTTCATCTTCCCAAGTAACTGAGATTACAATAATGTGAGCCTGTTTTATTTAGCTACTTAATAGAGGTGATAATAGAGTATTTGCTTCAAAGACTTACTGTGAGCATTGAAGCTCCATTAGAGAGCTGATAAGCTAGTATTGTTGATAATGTTTGCACAAGCCGCCAACCAGCCTCCTAACACCTCAGTCCCTCTGGAGAGATGGGTCGGGCCTCTGTTCTGTCTAAATTGGGATACTAGGTAATCAAGCATTCTGTCTCCATAGCACACATTCGAAGAAGCAGAGAAAGGGTTTGATGAGACCTTGGCCAAAGAGAAGGGCATGAATCGAGATGATCGCATCCATGGGGCCTTGCTGATCCTCAACGAGCTGGTCCGAATCAGCAGCATGGAAGGAGAGGTGAGAGGCTGCATCTGGGGAGACCAGGAAGTCCGGGCGGGACTGTGAGCAGGCAACACGAGTCCTCCCCCTCACGGAACTGACAGTTTACTATAGGGGAAGTAGACAACCAGGGAGTAAGAAAATTATTTCAGATAGTAAGCAGTCCCATGAAGAGAACAAAACCGGGTAAGGTAGCAGGGCAGAGGTGAGTGATCGGTCCAGGAATGCCCTGCCTGAGGGGTATAAAGGAGTTAAGGGAACTCAGGATTGAGGTGGGAGAGCTGGATGCATTGATGAGTCAGAAAGAAGGGAAGTGTACCTGATGCAGTATGAGCGAGGGAGGAGGAAGATGGGGACAGAGAGAGAACAAGGGCTTAAGTGAATAGGCCTCGTCATTTCCAGCAAACACTAGCTCCTATGTGTGCTGTAGGGACAGACATTGGAGACTTGCACATCTGAGAATGATGTGGCATTATGCTTTTCTGATGGCCATGGCTGCTTGTGGGAACAAGCGAGTGGGAGGCAGCCATGAAAGCAGGGAGTTAGCATGAGAAGATGGATTTACAAGTACAGGGAATTCACTAAGAAAATACTTGTGAGAAAGTGAGAGAGAGAGCTGAGCTCACAATGCGGCTCTGACCCTGAATGCACACGAGAAGGAAGAACCATTGGATGGAAGCCTCCTAGTCTCCATGCAAGACCGCTGTGGGTCCCAAGCCAAAGTCAGCCTTAGCACAGGCCTACGTGCACTATGGGCAGGCCTGCTGCCATAGGTTGTGCCTCAGTGCAGGCCTGCCACTGTAGGTACTCTGTGTTCTGTTGTGGGCCTCACTACCGCCTGAGAAGTGTATCCTCATACACACCTGGTAATGACACAGCAGCCAGGCCCTGGAGTTTAAGACTCCTTGTACCTGGAGATGCCATCCTCACAGCTGCCCTGGGAGCCTCAGCCAGCCCAGCAGTGCCTTGTACCAGCTGTGAGAGCTCAGATCCCAAGGAGGTGGGATTTGGAGTATTTGGGGTTGAGCTCCATCTGTGAGACTTCATGAGGATCTGTTGGTATGGGATTTCACCTCGGGGCTTCACCGCTGTTGTTGGGTAGTGCTGTGTCTAGATGTGGAGCAGCACGTGCAGCCGGAGGAGGCTTTGGGCTTTGAGGCCCCCCCCTTCCCATGTGCTCCATGACTCAGGCACATGACACCCCCTCCTGTCTCACTTTCCTCAGCTGCCTCACTGGACCATGGGAGGTTTCTAGATATGTGGGGAGTACCAAGCCCAGCACCAGACTCAGATACCTTGCAAATGGAAGCCAGTGGAGATGTCCCCTCCTAGCATGACACAGGGCTTTCCATGGTAGCTTTAGGTCAGGTTTCTATGAAATAGTTCTTGGGGGTGGCATCAGTGGGAGGAGGAGGGCTAAACGAGGGCAAGTGAGGATGAATATGGTACACGTCATATATTTGCATAAATGAGAGTAGAATAGCTGGTGCCTATGGCTCACGCCTGTAATCCTAGCTACTCAGGAGGCTGAGTTCTGAGGATTACGGTTTGAAGCTAGCCGGGGCTGAAAAGTCCCTGTGAGACTCTTATCTCTGACTAACCACTCAAAAGCCAAAGTGGCAGAGCACTAGCCTTGAGCAGAAATTTCAGGGACAGCACTTAGGCCCTGAGTTCAAACCCCACAACCAACAAAACTAAAAAGAGTAGAACATTGAAACCTATTGAAATTGTTGTAAGAAGGAGGAGTTAGAAAAAGAAACCAGATTTTTTTTTTGTTGTTGAAACAATTTTTAATGAGTCTACAGAGATCTAAACAAAAAGATACAAAATAAATCAAGTAGTATACTTATTCTTTTTTTGGGGGGGGGAGGTCTGGTCGTGGGGCCTGAATTCTGGGCCTGGGCGCTGTCCCTCAGCTCTTCAGCTCAAGGCTAGCACTCCACCACTTGAGCCACAGTGCCACTTCTGGCTTTTTTCTTTTGGCTTATGTGGAAACCAGACTTTTATAAAGAAAGGAAAAAAGTGAAATAATTAAGCGAGTATTAAGAGTACTTAGTGTATCCTACAATACTGTGAAAGTTATATAATCACTTAATCACAATAAAAAAATTGCAAAAAAAAAAGTACCTAGTGTGTACTGACAACATTGTACCCTAAGAGCTAAAATAACAGCAGTAAACCAAACAGAATGGCAGTACTTAAACAGCAAAAGTACACTATGATAAGTGATGCTGTGATGGGTCCTTGGAGATCAGGACAGCAAAGCTGAACAGCATGCGCAGAAAGCAAGGCGTCTTTGAGGGGTCATGAAGGAGGAAACAGAGCCACACAGCCTTGGGAGAAAAGCGTTCTGGGAGGCTCCAAGGCAGGACTGTGTGGTGCATGTGGCTGAGCAGAGTGGACAGAGATGCAATGGGAGATGTGTCAGGAATGCCTGGGGCAGGTGGGAGTGCATCACAGAGGGCCTAGGCCTGGGAGGCCTCTAGTAGACTTGGTGAGTGCAGTGGGAGGTCATTTGTGGCTAGAGCAGCGCTGTTGGACTCCTGTTTTGAAGGAACACTTGAGCCCGCTGTGCTGAGAATGGATTGTCAGAAGGCCAAGAGTGCTGAAGCCCCAAGCCAAGTTAGAGAACTATATCAATTCTAGCAGGGGTCTTAAAGTTCAGTTTCCAGTGGGAGCTTTGGAGGTCCAAGAAGCAACTGGACTCTGAACTTGGAATTTGCTGATAGATTGAGGTTGGTGAAAAGAAGGAAAGTTAAGGTGTTTGGCTTGCACAAGTGGAAGGACAAAGCTGTTCTATACTGGGATAGGAGATGGAAATGGGGGAGCAGGTGGGCAGGAATGACAGGTGTTTGTGTTTAAGTTTGAAGATGACTGCTGGGTCAATGTCTGAGCGACATCCGAGTGATTCTGGGGAGGGAAGTGGATTTGGGGAGTCATCAGCATATAGGTACTGTTCTTAGTCACAAGCTAGATGAAAACTGTGCACAGAGAGGCTAGTGAACTTGGGGAAGAGATAGGGTCCATGAGCCTGAGATTGGGAGATTGGGAACCAAGGGAGACAAAGCAGCCAGAGGGGCAGGAGCCTGGAGAGTGTGTGGTCCAAGGAGCCATGTGGAGAAAGAGCCTCAAAGAAGAAACAGCTGAGGACTAGGATTAGATGTTAAATTCAGGAGCACAAGAGCCATTGGTGAATTTTGATAAGAATACTAGACAGAATTTTCGCGGGGGTAGGGGAGGGAGAGAGATATGTTGAAGAAAGTTTAGAAATGTGGAAAATTGAGCCAGGCACTGGTGTCTCCCACCTATAATTCTAGCTACTCAGGAGGCTGAGATCTAAGGATCACAGTTCAAAGCCAGCCTGGGCAGGAAAGTCCCTGAGACTCTTATTTTTTTTTGGGTCCGGTTGTGGGGCCTGAACTCTGGGCCTGGGCGCTGTCCCTCAGCTCTTCAGCTCAAGGCTAAGCGCTCTACCACTTGAGCCACAGCGCCACTTCCGGCTTTTTTCTTTTTTTGCTTATGTGGTGCTGAGGAATCGAACCCAGGGCCTCAGGCATGCAAGGCAAGCGCTCTACCACTGAGCCACCTTCCCAGCATCCCTGAGACTCTTATCTCCAATGATTCTTTGGCTCAAAGTAGTAGAGTGTTAGCCCTGAGCCAAAAATCTCAGAACACCGGGTGCTGGTGGCTCACGCCTGTAATCCTAGCTACTAAGGAGGCTGAGATCTGAGGATCTTGGTTCAAAGCCATCCCGGGCAGGAGAGACCGTGAGACTCCTATCTCCAATAAACCACCAGAAAACCGGAAGTGGCTCTGTAGCTCAAGTGGTAGAGCGCTCGCCTTGA